ATAGTATGAACATTTCACGGGGTTTAGGGAGTCAATCTGAGGACAATTCAAAGGATTCTGAAAGAGTTAAGAGTCTAATGATGATTACAAAGTTTCGATAGCTCGGAAAACTCACTTTGACCGTTCTGATAAGAAACCAACATCCGAATTTGTTAGTGAGGGCTTCAGACTCAACACGGAAGCCTACATCAAGTGCCTTGAGGAGATAGTGCTGCCCTGGGTCAAGAGAGTGGGTCCTTGAAGACCCTATGTCTGACAACAGGACTTTGTATCATGCTACACAAGCAGGAGAACTCAGTTATGGCTGTCAGACAATTTTTGCGATCATATCACCCTTACATCTGGCCACCTAACACAACTCTCTTGATTATTATGCAGTTGATCGAGAGACCAACAAAATAACTTGTAACACTAAAAATGAACTGAAGGCAAGGATTATTGCAGAATTTACCAACAAGGAGACCGTCCAAATAAGTTGCAGGAGATTCCGAAGTCGTTTAGATGAAGTCAATTTTATTGAATAAATTTCCTTTTTAGTATTTCAAGATATTTTTGTGTATTTTTTTTTAAGTATATCTGTTAAAATGAGATGCCTATTAATTTCATTTTTCAGTAATTTAGATGACAATTTATCCATCGCACTCCGTGTGTGTATATATATATATATATATATATATATATATATATATATGAAGAAAATATACTGAAAAAACAAACAAAAATCCTAATATGCGATTATGCTGTTTTAATGTTTAATGTCAACGTCGGACGTTTCGGTCTAATAGACCATCTTCAGGACATATTCATAAAACATAATTAACATAGACCATATAAAATTCAACATGAAAAAGACGATGGACATAAAAGCAATACCAATCCAAACAGATAACTGAAATTTTTATAAGATCAGCGTTCCGTTTTAAATATGATCACGTCGTCGTCACGTGGGCGATGTTGTGAAAACGTATTCCTAAAATTTGAGTATTTTGAATGAAAAACGAAAAGAATTTTATTTTGATCTAAAACTTATATGTACGTTTGTCGAGCATTAATCTGCTAGAAAAGGGGAAATATTAAAAAGCCAGGTCTAGTATTCACCGTTGCGTGAGATGGATAGTATATATATGCTTATATAAATCCGTCTAAGATTTTTATTATGAAAATATTTTAAAATCTTCACAGAATCAAAATCGAAATTATGATCAGCATATTAGGATTTTTGTTTTTTTTTTCAGTATATTTTTCTTCATACTGTCGGATCTATATCCATATATTTGCTTATATATATATATATATATATATATATATATATATATGTGTGTGTGTTTGTAACACTGGGTTTCACGTTTTTGTGATCCTCAGACAAATTTCTGAGGATCGCAGGAGCGGGAAACGAAGGGTTATAAACTCACATCCATACAACTAAGTATGTTAGATCTATCACTGATATTGAGCGTTTTTTTCAGTAATATACTGCATATATATATAAAATATAAATACATATACATTCTCACGCGCATATATATATATATATATATATATATATATATATATATATATATATATATATATATAATATCCGTTTTTTCTCCATTTGTAATAATTTAAATGTAGGTAGCGCTAGAAATAAATGGGGCGAGGGTTAAAATCGATTTTATACTTATTGATCTGTATATTGTCAAGGAATAGTCCATAAATGGTTTGTTCTTGTACCGCCCCTTATGATATATATATATATATATATGTATATATATGACGTCATTTGTTTACATTTGATACGCCAGAGCAGTTATGAATGTACGAGATTCATGGAAGATTGAAGTTTATCAGCAGTAAATTCGACCTTGTCTACCGAACGCTTCTTTGTGGCCGATCGATAATAAACGTCAGCGTAAATGACGGTTCCGTATAAGATGCAGGTTCGAATCCTGTCAAAGAACAAATATTTTCTATGAAAATTTCTCGGACATTCAGGCCGGTAAATAATATTTAATACTGTTTATTATAAACAGAGCATTTTTTTAAAACTTGTATCTATAAAAGAACGTTAAACATAAAAATGTCTTTAATAAATAAAATATTTGTCCATTTCTTAATGTGACGTTTCCCCTGGTCGCAGCGTCGACTGTGTCGTTCGATTGTTCGCGGCGCCAGCCGTTCGTTTATCGCTGCTCCAAATGTGACGTTCTAACCCTTTGGTTAGATTGATACCAGCCTAGTCATTTTAACCCGCTTCCAACGCCTGGTTACCAGGGTAACTGCACTGATCTCCGGTCTTTATAAAAAAACGTTGTGAAAATCTTAGACAGACGGGATCAAACAGGGTTTGGCCGTAAATTTGAGTCCAACGGGGGTGATAATTTACAAGAAAATAAAAACTCACAATATCAAAAATTATTGAAGAAAAAAGGTAATACATTTTATATCTAATTGCTCGTTACACAAGATTATTCCTACCTTTTGACCCGTTCTGTGGACCGTGGCCTTGTTCTGGGGAAAAAATTAAAGAAACAAAAATTTAAATTGCCCTTTTCGTACGTGAAAAATGACCATCTCGGTTTCTTTTACGCGGTATTTGTCAAACAGTTTATATAATTGGATACGATCTAAGAAAATTTTTCAGACTGGGTGGCGTTTTCATTTTTAAAAAAATACTTCATTTTTTCTTTTCGCGGCCAAAGGCCTGATAATAAAATTTTCATTATCTAAAAAAAATTTTCAGCCAACATCATTTTTGTGAAAAAAATTTTCAATTCTGGAATGGTCTGGGTTTTCGTATTAATGGTTTGCCTGCATAAATATAGATTAACTTCCACCTGTTAATTATATATTTTTTTTCCATTGTCTCTAAACTTTATTTCTTCAACCAAATTGATAACAAACTTCCATTTTTCGTGGACACGGAAGTTGGTCAGGTATTTGACCGGGATACCTTCCAACATCTTAAATGTATCAATCGAGTTTTAAAATGTATTCGCTTTATGACCTGGTTTTCGTATTATATTTTTTTTCTTTCTTTTCTTCTTCTTGATTTCTTTCTCCCAGATCGCTTGAACACAATTAAAGAATTATTCTCAAACCCAAATATTTTTCAGCTCTAAATAATTATCAAATGGTTGACAAACCGTAAAAAACAAATCATTTTATGAATATTTTAATGCCACTTTTATGCATGGTGCCACATTAATATATATATATATATATATAATAAATGAAGACTTTTTTAAAGTTTATGCTCTCGATAGAGAAAATGAAATTTGGGTACAGACTGTTGCAGTTTTCGATCTAAATTTTGTTTTTGCAACTTGTACGCATTGTTCATAGAATGCATGTCCTGAAAATCAGGAAAATAAAGACTGTCCGGTGTTAATGCAAACGTTACTTCTTGACAGATGAAGAAGTAATTCGAAACAGTATTTTTGCAGACTGATACTGGGAACGCAACGGAGATAGAACGTGAGCAAAAATGAAGTTCTAAAGAAAATAGACACCCACATGGGCACTTATACTTAAAATCCGAAAGAGACAGTTGAAATTTATAAGGGGAAAGAGAACCCGGAATATTTAAGCTTCACAGGCCATATTTTGATCGGAGACGAATCAAAATGAAACACCTGGTAACCTATTTGATGTTTGCGAGTGAATCGATGGCAGACCGGTGACGCAGAGGGATGGTAACGAATTGATGGTTGCTTAAAACAAGAGATATGAGTTTATGAAGAGCTTTGATTGCCCAAGTCCAGAAGGAACTCAATACATTTTTAGAAAAATGGTCGGCTCATTTGTTGTTTAGAAAATTTTTTTAGAATTTTTGCCAGGCTTTATATTTACAAGTGTCAGATTAGACCTAAAATAGAGTATAGCTAATGCTGTCCAGTCTTCACTTTCCAGCCTACAGAGCTCAAAATCGCTTAGGCGGTCTTGTGAGTTTTTGTGATGTCAACGAATACTCGTTGTCACTTTCGTAATGTTCGTTGTAGTAGAGACTTTGTAATCGCAGACACAACTATAATAACGCCGTTGAACAATACTAGTGTCAGACGCATTCGAATAACACTCACATAAATTGTACTCGATAATGCTAGCTCGAAAAGTGACCACCGAATAGTAATCTGTATAGTGATCAATAAAGAGAAATAGTATAGTGAATGGTGTAAAGATAGAGGATGGTGTAGAAAGAATGATCTGAATATTAATAGAGGATAGAGTAGAAATAGTGATCAATTAGACGCCATGCTAATTCCCATATGTACATTTCCTTTACCATCACGTGGTCTACTTATTAAAAATGGAATCACCCGTGTTTGCTCTCTGGTGATCTGTGTTCAATCTCCAGTGTCGGCAACGACACTTTATTCCTATATAATATGAGCAATGACATATTTTCCATTCTGCAGCCTCTCTCCACACCCACCAGACTTAACGCTGCTCTGACGCTATTTCCATGGCAAATGTTCAGATGATTTCCATTATTTATCTCCACCAGTTCAGACCTTTACTGCTAGGACACGCCGTGCCACTTCCACAGAATTGAAACGCCCTCATTTCTTCCGTATTCCAAAATCTAAACAGAAGGTTCCACTCGGCTTTTCTCACAAATTGTTACTTTGTGGAAAAGACTTCCACTTGGATGATTCCCTGAAGACTACATTCTTAGCCACTTTAAGATACGGGCCAGTCGTTATCTATCCTGTTCCTATTAATAATCTACCACCATCTCTTATATTCATATCACACACCTCATTCATTGATCCACTACCATGAGTGGCTCTTTAGCTGCGTAGGTTGAACTTTAGAAAAAATATATAAATCGAGCGAATTTTTAACATGACCCAATATCTCCACACGTCGTTCACTTCGGGTACTCTGAAACACACAGCGTGAACGCAAGTGCGTTTTCAGAAAAATAAAACTCCCCCTCTCTGGCCTATCGCCAGTCATCTTGATTTCATGAAACCATTGGCAAATGATCAGCTGGAAGAAATGGATGTGATGAAGTG